AGCTTATTTTTTACTTATCTTTCTTTAACTTTTACTAAAGTAGGCCTTAAGTTAGACTAAGGCCTGCCCTTACTAAGGTCTATATTCCTTTATATCTAGTCTCTAGTATTCTAAATAATAGCTTTATAACTTATAAGCTATACTCTTACTTATATAGTCTTTTAAAGGAATTTAAAGTAAAGGTAGATTAAAGGTATGTTTGTTTTAGTATATAAGATCTTAATTAAAGTAGCCTTAAACGCTTTAAAGACTACCTTAAGACTACTGTTTTAGATCTTTTAAAGTAACTTTACTATCCTTAAGAGACCTTTAGTAAGGTTTATAGTTAAGAGCTAAACTACTAAGGCGTATATAAGTACTAGAGAGATAACTATATAGTATATTAGATAGGCTTTCTTTATTATTATACCTTACGTTAAGGCTATAGTATAGGTTAAGGCTAATATCTACCTTTTTATCTTTCTCTTTAAGTGTTTTAAATAAGCTCTTTATATTAGCTTTAGGTCTAAGATAAGGCTAAGGATCTTAATTAACGGTTTTAAGGTAATCTTTATATTACTTAAGGAGAGGCCTATGTTTAGGTTATACTTTTGTCTTTTACTTAAGTAGAGTAGATAGTATTTTATTAGTTTAAAGACAGCCTTATATCTATAGGCTTAGTTAGAATATACCTAGTAAATCTTTACTAGCCCTTAGTAATTCCTTTTTATTATCTTACCTTAGATAATAATGTTTATATTATTAACAAATCTAATAGTACTTCTTTCTTATAAGGTAGTATTATACTATTCTACTAGTTCTAAGTTATAAAATAAAAAAAAGATAAGAGATAAGAAAGAGCCTTATAGAATTCTAAAAAGGACTTTAAAGAAGAGGCTAGTATAGTTATTAATTCTAATTAAACTACTTCTCCTTAAGAGAAAGCCTTTAACTAGTTAGACTATCTACTCTAAGATCTTCTTTATATATAAAATATAGAAAAGCCTTAGGTAAGATAAATTATTAAAGGCCCTAGCTATATTTAGGCTAAGAATTAATACTACTGTTTTTAGGCTACTTTACTAAGCCTTATAAACTTATTCTATAATTAGCTCTAGTACTATAGTTATGTTTCTCTTTCTTTACGCCCTTATTTAGTATACTAGAAAGAGCTAGTAATCTTTTACTAGGTTAGTTAGTCTTATAGCGACTAGCTTCTCTAGAGTCTTTCTAAAGGTATTAAGAAAGGTAATTAGTTAATATAATTTTACTTAGTAGTAGTCTTTCTCTAGCTTTAAGATTATAATAGTTTAAGCTACTCTAAACCTCTTTAAGAAGTACTTAACCTAGGTATAGTAGTTAAAGAGGTAAGTATAGTATTAGAGTAAGACCTTTATTAATATTTTAATAATCTTGTTTAGGATTTTATCTAGGCCTAAGGCCTTCTTGTTCTTAAGCTTCTTAATTATAGTATAAACTTTATTTACTAAGAACTCTTATAAGTAAAATAAACTATCTTTATATTATCTCTTTCTTAGGTTAACCGGCCTGTCTTAAAGGTATTAGTATTTTAAGATATCTAAAAGATTAGTATTAAGAGCTAGAGTAAAGAAAACGTCTTAGAAAGCTTTAGCCTTTATCTTATAAGTATTAACTAAGGCCTTTCTACTCTAAGAGTAAAGGGTTAAGAACTATAGTAAGGGTCTAAGTAAGTAGCTTTTATTCTTTACTTATTATTTAAGTTACTATATTCTCTTTTTATGCTAGCTAGCCTTATAGACTAAGGCCTTAAAGTAAAGGGTCTAGGCTTTTAAGATTACCTTCTTCTTTTCTTTTACTATTTTATACTACTCTCTTATTATCTCTTTTAGAATTCTCTTACCTCTTCTCTAGTACCTTTTTAGGTCTACTTATCTTACTTTCTTTACTTACTTACTATACTCTTTATTCTAAAAGCTTTTAGACCTATTACTTATCTTTTACTATAAGACTACTACTTTTATAGCCTAATTTAAGGAGTCTATAAGTAGTTAGAGCTAGTTATTAATATTCTCTAGAGTACGTAGCTTAGAGATTACTAGTACTAAGCCTTATAAGGTTTTAAAGAGCTTTAGTTTGTTAGTCGCTTTTTATTATCTTTATAAAAGTAAGATATAGCTTTTAGCCTTAAATCTAAGCTTTATAGTAATAAGAAAGTAATTAGACTAGAGGTCGTGTCTTAACTTTACTTTATAAGAGCTAAGAAAATCTTTAAATTTAATTAGGATTAGGGCTAGGTTAATATAGGATTTATAGTTTCTTTTTTCTTACGTTTATTCTTTAATAAGCGTTATAATCTTAAGTAAAAAGTCTTATAAAATACTTATTACTTTATCTAACATTCTCTTTAGGTCTTAAGAGGCTCTACCTCCTTATATAAGGTAATAAAGGTTAAAGTCCTTTACTACTATATACTTATAGCTTTAGTTGTCTAGCTCTTTCTAAAGGGCTAAGAGAGTAAAGGGTCTTCTTAAGGTATACTTATTAAGAGAAAAAGGGTTATAGATATTTATAACTTTAACTAGTATTAAAGTACTTATAACATTAACTTTAAGGCTAACTTAGTATAAGTCTAGGTAAGAGGTATTAAAGGTCTAAGTAGTCTAGTTAATCTTTTTATTTATATATATTATTACTCTTATACCTTTTACTTGTCTATAGATTAGTCTTTACTAAAGACCTAGTAAGGTAGTTATAAAGTTATGTCTATTATACTAGGGTTCTTAAATAGCTAAGATGTTATACTAAGCTAAAGAGAGGTCTTAGAGTAGTATGATTATAACGTCCTTTTGTTTATTAACGTTATATTATAGTATATTAAATAAGTCTTAGTCTAATTTTATAAAGAGTCTTAGCTTATAAGTATTCTATTTATTTAGGATTCTATCTAGCTTAAGATAAGGACGACTAGAGTTACGCTACTAGGTACTATAAAGGTTTTAAAGCTTAGTATTAAGAGAGAAAAAAGGTAAGAGTTAGAGCTATTAGTTTCTTTATTCTTTTTCTTCTTATTTAAGAAACTAGTAAGTAAGCTTATATCTCTTACTTAAAGGCTAAAGGTTTATATATATTAGTATATAGCTCTCTCTTAGCCTATTAGAGTATTAACTCTTAGTCTTCTTATAAAGCGTTTTAAGTTACTTAAAGTAAAAGTAAGGGTTAGGCTTAAGGCTACCTTAGTATTAATTAGATCTCTTTAATAATACTTACTAGGCCTTATAAAGGCTACTTACTCTACCTCTTTTAATTTTTTTTATAGTAGTAAGTAAGCTACCTAGTCCTAGGCCTAGTATCCTTTCTTCTTATAGTTAGTATATCTTTATTTCTCTTTATTTTATAAGTTTTAGTATGTCTTTATCTAGTAAGAGCTTATATATATTTTATAAGTTTTTTGTTTTAAATATATAGTTAACTAGTAAGGTCTTATCTCTTAGTACTTAAAGTACTAGTTTAGGGATACTCTTAGAGAGTAGAGAGTGTAGTAGTATAGTTTACTATCTACTATTAAGCCTTTTTTAATTACTTTTTTTACGTGTTTAAAGTCTAGGATACTTAAGATAAGAGACGTTTACTACTTCTCTTAGGCGTATGTCTTAACTAGTTAGAACGACTTAATGATTTAGATCCTTAGGTTTAATACTTAAATAGCCTAGATCTATTCCTTTTTCTCTAGAGAATCTTCTTTAAGGCTTACTCTCTTAACCTTAATATTATATATAATTATTAGTAGTATAGTCTAAAACACCTTTACTTTACTAAAGGTTAACGTTACTTAGCTCTAATCTTTTTATATTTACCTTATACTTTCTAAATCCTTTATATAAAGCGTATAGCCTCTATTTTTATACTTATAAATAGCTTATACTAAGGCGCCTAAAAGGGCTACATTAATCTTATCCTTTATTATCTTATAATTAATGTTTTTAAATCTCTTTATATCCTTTATAAAGAGCTTAACCCTAATCCTCTTCTTAATCTTTATAACGTCTTTATACCTAAACGTCTAGGTTAAAGGGCTACTAGTCGTTAGGTAGGCTTAGAGTACTCTTTCTCTAGCTATTACTATATATATTAGTTAGCTTTACGTACTAAGGTTTATAACTTTAGTTTTAATGTTCTTAATTAAGGAGGCTATTTATTAGGCCTATTCTAAGGCCTTAGCGTTATTATTACTCGCGTATAGAGTTTTTGTAACGCGTTTAATTTTATTAACTAACTTTTTAATACTTAGTATTACTAGAGAGTGTCTAGCGCTAAAGGCCTACTTATTAGCCTATAATATTACTTTATATATTTTTATAGTAATACTAAGTAATTGTTAGCTAGGGTAGATTCTAGGTCTTTCTAGCCTATTTCGACTATCTCTAGTAGGTTCTCTTAAGAGTACTAGTAGGTACGCTATCGTGTAATAATAGAAGTTAAAGAAGGCACTTAAAGGAGTGTTTTAAGGTCCTTTTAATAAGTGTAGTAGCTGTTGTTTTCTAAAAATGCCGCTCCTTAAGGGGGAGATGTTTTTTAAAAAGGGTTTATCATTCCGCACGTATACACAGAGCAAACAATCAAATACCAGAAACATAAGGTATTAATAGATAATAAGCAGTTTAAGGGTGTTTGTGGGCTTATGTATTTATTGATTGATTTGATTGGTGTCTGGAGTGTTTGTGGTTTTTTTGGGGAGGGGTTAGAGCGGATAGAATGAGAGTTAGCTGTGAGGATAGTATAGTATAGTATAGACTGGGATAGTATGGGATGGGGTAGTATGGGATGAATGGGATAGATCATAGATCTAGATGGATCTATGACCGTTACATTAAATTGAATTACATAGGATGTTACCTACCTACATACATACCTACCTACCTACCTACATGACTATAACCGAGCAACGGTGATGGATAGGTAGCTAAGTGCTGGTCGTCGTCGTCGTCGTCGTTAAATATATGATTTATTCTCACTCAATATTCATCACAGAAAATTGGATTCAAGAGCTATGTATGTATATATGCAAAGTGTCTGTCGTCGATTAACAAACGGGGTATAACATAACACACTACTCCACACGCGGATTAAATTACCAACGTGATACAAGGAGATGGATGGATGATGGGCTGCTTCTCTAGGAATCTAGGTAGGTATCTTAAGGGCAGAAGAAAAAAAGGGAAGAAAGCAGACAGACAGACAGCTAGATGAGTAATAGAGCAGCAGCAATCACAAAAAACTCCCAAGATTGTATACACCGGCCCCAGGATCGACCCCCATAACTCCATCAATGCAACGCCAGAACCCCAAGAATCAGTAGCTCGATCACGCAGCAAGTATAGATGCAATCCCCTCATACGCCTTCTCCACCGTTCGGACACCCAGACCCGGGACAGCACGCAGCTGCTGTAGCGTCTTGATGGCCCCTCCTTCGTCCTCGTCCTGTAGCTCAAGGAACTCGACGAGATCTCGGGCCTTCTTGGCCCCGACGCCGCTGAGGCCCCTGATGAGCGCCACGTCTCTGGAGTTCACAATGTCGAGTAGGTATCTTGTCCGTGGAGATGGGGGCTCGAGCATTTCTTCGCCCCGGTCTCTGTCGGCGAAGATTTGCAGGCTTGATTTTGCGGCTTTGGATTTGGATCTCTTGGGTTTGGAGGACTTGTACGAGAAGCTGTCGTCGTCTTCATACTCTTCGTGCGCTGCTATCGAGCCGTTATATTCATCGTCAGAGTCTGCGCTGGCTCTATGCTTACGTGGCTTCACTTGAGGCTCTTCGTGAGCGGCTTCGAATGACGATGCGGGCGTGGGGAGCTGTATAACCTCTTCAGAAGCGATGGGTTTCCGGCATTCCACTTCTACAGGTGCAGAGGTCCTGTTTGCTGCTTGGTCTCGCTTGGCTTGTATCTTTGCCCTTAGATTATCTATCTTCCTCAGGAGCTTCTCTTGCCCCGGGAAGAAAGGTAGTGCAAGCTCGTACATCTTCAATGCGCTTGTATCTTCTCCTCGCTCCTTATGTTGCTTCGCCATGAGCAAGAATCGCAGCCCTTCAGTTCTCGCTTCCTCGGCCTCACCGCTCTCAATCTTTCTCTCCAGAGCTTCAAGTCTGCGTTGCACCGCTTCGCTGATTTCAACGGGGGCTGCCGTGGCTGGTTGATCCAAAGCCCGATTCGCCAAGGCTTCCGACACTTTGCGCTCGATCAGCTCCTCGATCTTCGCGGCGGACATCTCAGCGCCAGTTCTGACGCCTGTCATATTGGATCGTGCCACCTTCGTTGGACGGGCGATGCCAGAAGGATCTGAAGGCCTTTTGCCTGTAGAATCTGCCCTTCGAGGCGCGGGATTCGACGGTCGAGGTCCCGTCTTGCTTTTATCTGTATAGACAGAGAACGCTTTCAAGGGTTTCTCTGTCCCCGGTTTCTCTGTCCCCTTCTGTACTGCCGCGTTTACGTGAGTGTTGTGAGCATTCGCGAGTGGCCGCAGTGGTTGGCGTTGGATAGTTTTGCCTGTAATTGATGGCGCCTTCCTCGGCGGCTGTGTAAACACTACCTCATTCTCAATCTCCCTTACCTCTATACGCTTTGCCCTTGAACTCACATTCAATGAGGAGAGCGTATCGAGATGGTAGGAGCGTTGAGGAGCCAAATTCAAGATCATAATCGTGATTCCGTTGTTCTGCCCAAGGCTCAGAATTCTGGTCATCTTCGATTCTCTGTAAGGAATGCGTTTGTCCCCACGCCCTATAGCATCAATGCATTGAGAGAGAACAAATAAACTCTTATTGATGCTGGCCGATTCAACCATCCGCTCTTTGCCGTTGTCTGTTCGTCGGTTGTCTTCCGATCCAGCCAGATCGATCGCGGATGCAGTCGATGTCAATGACTGGTCCCCATTCGTCTGAGTGATCTTAACCATGAGAATTGCATGACTTCGGCTACTCTGAGCATTGAGTTTCGTCCCGGCGGTACTTCGGTTGTTATTCGCCTCGATATACAGCCTTTCGAAGTCCTTCAGGTCATCGCAGGCATGTTCTGATAGCCCAACCACTATCGTCTTCCCATCCTTCTCTCGTATCGGCAGACCCGCAAGGGAACGTTTTTCAGGCGGTTCGAATAGATCAAACACTTTGTCGTTGTATATCTCGTAGTATGAGAGGGTTACTGTGACAGAAGTCTCGCCCCCGGAATCCTTTGTAACCTTTCGACCACGCCTGTATATGCCACTGAGAAGTCGAGGTATTACCCCTCGATCAGACATTTTCAGTCCACCTCTCATGGTATGCGTCTTTCCCGTACCGGTCACACCGTATGCAAAGATTGTAACATCGAGGCCCTGAAAGAGAGATTTGAGTGTCGGCGCCACTGAATACGATTAGTACAGATAATGCAACTCCCAATTTTTGGCGTACCTTCGCTTGTAAAGAGCTCCTCCTGTGTAGTCTTCATGTCATAGACACTATTAAACATGAAGGAAAACTCCTCCGATTCGTTCTTGGGATTCGGAATGCGGACGATATTCATATGACCGTCCTCTTGGCTGCTCTCGGCACGCACAATAATATCTTTGTCGAGTTCCTTGCCTAGAAGAGGCCGGATCCGCGCCACCACTGGAAGGATTGTCAGCCAACTTGAGGATCATGCGAATGGGAATATGCAGGCAAATACCTCGAACAGACATGATGAATCAATTGAATGTAGAAAGAATTAGGAAAAGAAACCAAAGAAAAACAGATGTCCTCAATTCCCTTGCCGGAGAGCCACTTGCACTCTGCCGATTTCTAGATCGTTTGTCGCACGGTGGGATGTTGAATGTCGATGTCGATGTTGAAGGTCATGTTTTGGCGGTTGCCATAGGAGACGACCCTCCCACGCCAATCTACTTCGGTACATTGACGGGGATAATTTGGACCTTTATTTCAGAGGCCGCTCAATTGTCACTGGAAATGTACACCATACCTCGTATCAAATTATACAAAGTTTATAAAAAGAAGCGCTCCTATCCTGACACTATTGCGGTATTCTCGTTTTTATGCCCAGCACTTCTGTCCATAGGTACCTTACCCACCATGCTCATTGCTCTGCCGTCCATTTTCGAATAGCGTCCACTGCCTCATCCACTCCTTTCACTATGATTGTTGGCCCACCACTTGCCAACTCTCCAAGTCTATCATTCCATCCCCCGTTTGCTCGATCCACCCACGCCGCCTGGATTCCAGCTGCTCTGGCTCCAACAACGTCGAATGGATTCCCAGTCACAAGCCAGATGGTAGCCATGTCTTCTTTGCTTGTGCTCTTTCCTACCTTCTTAGCGAGGTGCTGGTACACTCTTGGGTCTGGTTTGAAGACTTGGATTTCCTGAACGGTGATGAGACCTCTGAAGTTCGCCCTGTGCGGTGAGAGCGACGGCGACAGCGCCACGGATGAGCTGACCATGGCGTCAGTTCCATTGGAGAAGACGTAGGCATCAATGTCGGGATCTGATGCGAGACCTTCGAGACCCGGCGCCACATCTGGGAAAGTTCCGAGAGAGTTGTATGCTTTCATCAGGCTTTCGATATCTGAGTCCGAGAGAGAGACTCCTGACTCAGCTAATGCGTGCTTGAGTGATGCACGGGTGATGTCTGAGAAAGGCTTATATAATGCTGGATCAAAGAATCAATACCCAGGTCAGGGAAGAAGCTATGAAGATGGAGAAATACACATGCTATTCATCCTCCAAGTATATTCAAGCTGGTAACGGCGCCATGATGCTGCTATAGATCGAGCCTTCTCCTCTCCAAAATGAGACGCCAGCTCTGTTGCAATGCTCTCAGTGGAAAGTAAGGTCCCGTACAAATCGAATGCAATGATCGTCTTATTGTTTGAGGACATCGTGAGATAAAGAGATATGTACAAATATTGTAAAATGTCACAATGTCCAGTGAAGTTGTTCATGAGTCTGAAGTGGGGGTAATGACATACCTTTTTTGTTCCCCCCACCGACAAGGTGTCTCTAGTTCCATCCAACTATAACAGACTCCCTTAACATCCCACAACCTGCTCCCTACAGATCTAATTGTCCTCTGATCCCTAACCCAGTCCTGCACATCCATGCCACAACGCTTAACACTGCCTCTCCACCTCCTATGACCCGAGACCTGGTCACCGGATGCGAGATCGCCTTGCGTTTCTAGATACATGACTAACCCCCGGAAGCGTACATGGAAAGGTGTTGAAAAGGGCTGGTAAACGGGGAATCAATCCGAGAGGGAAGATGACACAGCTCCTGCGGATTGGGACGGGTTAGGAGAATGAGGTGGAAGGCTTCTTGAGATGTTGGATAGTTGGGGGAAGCCAACAGTAGGTATATACTTCATATCTACCAGAATTGAAAGATACAATTAAAAAAGAGGCCAAGAGCAATTATTTGACGGATATCACAAAGAGTCTTTATATTTACATTTACATTTACATTCATATATAAATACAATATCGGGAACAATTATGGCGAACCCAAACCATATAATCATATCTGTTAAGCCGTCTCTTCAGAGTCATCTTCACTCCTAGGCTTTCCGGTCCATCGTTCAAGATACTTTTGCGCTTCAAATTCTTGAGGCCAGCCGTCCCATTTCTCGACACTCTCAATAAGCCTCTCAGCCTCGGCCTCATAAACAGTGCCACTGAGGAAAACTCTCATCGCAATGAAGACCCTCCTAATGAGTTTTGGTCCATTGCGAGACTGAATAGCGATCTCTTCCAACGCCTCGTGATGCGTTCGCATCCATTTCAGAAGATACATAATGCCCTCATAGTCCTCGATGAGACCCAATACACGCACATAGGCATGAAGATGCTCTCCGCCGATTGAGTGTAGAAGTTTCGGAATACGATATGGAGGGTCCATCTCCTCAGCCTCAGACATCTTCATGAACTCATCCACGACCACGGTCACTGGATACTGCGCAAATGCGGCCACTTTCTCGGCTAAAGTAACATCGAATGAAGCAAGAACAGCCTTTTCAAGACCATGGCAGATGATTTGAAAGCCTCGAGGATCCAGTTCAAGACCACATCGGTGGAAGTCACCAAGTGCAGCGACCAGTACTTGCCAGGATAGAAGGTCATTTCTAGGATCTCCAACTAGACCACGATCAATTATAACACCGCGTCGAGCCAAAGCGGCGAATAATGCATACCATGCAGGCCGAAAATGTGTTCGACTTTCCTTCAGAAGCTCCATGGTATGAAGAAGTGGATTGAGTTGTGGCCCCCCCGAGTGTCTTTTGGGTTCCAGGATTTGATACTCAGAACCAATTTGAGCAAGTTCCGCGTTCTCGTCGTGCTCATCTGCTTCATCCGATTTGGATGGTGAAGTTTCTGTACACACAGCACGAGGAGCAAATCGACATAGAAGCATGATAAATGCTGCAAAGGTTGAAGCGGGCAACTTTTCCAGGATGGCGGGGGATATCTCCTTATCCCCGGATAGAAATGCTACAGCTCGCTGATTCACTTGACTATCACGTAGATACTGCAGACCTTTACCCACAGTTCGCGCATGCCCAAGGAGGAATGTCAGAAGTCTGCCAGTGGGCCGAGAACCGGACTGAATCATCTTGTCGTAGAGTTCATCAAAACTAGGCGGTAGAAGGCGTTGTCGATAGAAAGTACTGACATTATCGGTCAAAGGGGTAAACACTTCCTTGCCATCCCCCGGCGATGCGTCATATTGCGCCTTTTTTCCGGACCTTGCTTTGTCAAAATCGAGTTTCTCGAACATGGCGAGGTACATGCGTGAGCTCGGTTGGCCACCTTGCTCCTCGAAACCTTTGAAAGCGCTCCAGGCTTCTTGAATATCGCGAGTTGCCTCGATTCTAGCAGCCCATAGGTCTGGCTCGACATCACTATGAGCTTTGCGTTCGGCAGGCCGCGGTCTCCGCTTTATGAGCTTTCGAGTCTGGATCGTTGGTGTTCCATCAGGCTCCTGACCTCCTAAGATCCTAAATGCTTGATCCTTTACACTTTCCGTGTACCCAGACTCTTTAGTTCGCATTGTTGCGGATACAACTCTGCTGAGATCATCTTCAAGTGAACGTTGCGCATCCATGCCGTCCTGATCAATTCGCCAAGGAGGCCAGCTCCTAGTTCTAAGGTTTGCAACCCTTGATTCTCTCTCAGACTTTTTAGAAGCAGCCAGCACTTGAACAACAGCACGGTAGCTATCTTGATCCAGTGTCAACGGTGGGTTAAGGTGCCCGACAGCCTCTAGAAGAACAGTTTGCGCTCGCCAATTGTAACTCATGGACTTCAGAGGATCTATAGAGGCCGGCAAGGCTAATAAGCGCAGGGTATGGTTGTAGATCCGACAGAGTCGATGGTGCATTCGTGGATCTAATTGCCTTGGGTCACAATTGTTGCTATGCAGAATTAAATGAATGATTAGGCCGGCCATATGTGAAATATTGACTACAGCTGGAGCCCAGATACGACGAGCCTGGCGTAGAAGGCGGCTTATTATCATGATAAAGGTTGAATCTTCAAGCGTGGGAGGCCGGCTAGACGGATTCAGATGACTGCGCGGCGCTTCTGACGGAGGAACGACAATGGCATTGAGCTCCGTTTCAGAGATTGTTGTAAGATTGGATCGAGGTGTTCCTACGAGTTGGTTCCAGGTGTAGCAGAGTAATAGTTTCAACGTCCTGACTTGCAGGATATCCCGCCGGAGTATTTCAAGCAAGAGAAAAGTTGGGTTATTGGAACCCGTGGAGAGAAATCGCTCGGCCATCTCATCTACACTTTGTGCTGAAACAATCCAGGCCCAGTTGTTGACATCAGCCATTGTCAGGCCTCTATTTCGTAGGGTGACCACGGCTTGATCGTGGAAGGACTGCTCGAACGCTCCCGGAGTAGTCTACATGGCTGTCAGACTTATTTGCCAAACGGGGAGGGGGCAGAACATACATTACGATATTTGGACCTATGAAGGTACTCCAAAAGGATATTTGGTAGTGATGAGGGCGAAAGATACTTCCGAACACTTAGCCAGTATAATTCTCTTTCCCAATCGCTGTCTATATCAAGCCATCGTGCAAGAGAGGCTGGAGGAGATGGCCGCTTCCTCTTCAGTGTCCTTTGGGTACTGGTCCTGTGAAGAGAAGGGGAATACCTCACCACGGCCCCGCGTTCCCCTAATTGACGAGTGTTCGTTGGATGGCCGAACACGTATAAAGCCCCAGATCCGGCCTTGACCGCCATTCCTTTTGGTCTCCTCGATTTTGGAGACTTCGGTGAGATTCGAAGAGGTGACGAACCATGGTGTAGGTATTGTCGGGCTGAGATTGCGAAGATGTGTTTGAACTGTGAAAGGTTAGGGGAAAGCGAGGACACGGAGCTTCTGACTTACGATATGATGGCTGGCAAACCTTGTGGAGCTGGCAGATCGCCGTAAAAAGGCACCGCCCAATCCCGAGGAAAATAGGCACGATTGCATTCGTTCATGTTGTCCAAAGGATCTAAAAGTCCCAGGAAAAGACAGCCAAGTCAAGCTTGAAAAATGGCATAGCAACTGTTGTTGGGCAAAAGAGAGGATTCCAGGGCTTTCAAGATATTGAGACGTGCAAAGATCAAAAGCTTCACGTGGGAAGATTCAATGGGTCGTAGCTGGTTGTATGTGGTGAAGATAGTAGGCGTGGTAGAGCCGGATGTCTTTGCTTTGAGCCTGCAGTCGACCTCCCGGAGAAAATCATGACTAAGCGAACCGGCTTTAGCGTGGCTCGACTTGACATGGCTGTCGCTTTTTGCTTCAGACTGTACATTCCTGGGGTGAACGACGTATCCACCACACACAAACGGACCGCGAGAAGGAATCCCTTTCCCCGCTGTCCACTTACATCAGATCGAGCGTCCCGCGTATTGTTCAGCTCAAGCGAAGTCTTGGGGTTTGGCAAATCTTCACCTGCCGGCCCGCACGCAACTTGTCGGTCACACATTCCACTCGCTACCCTCTGCGATCGCGACTCGCGACGACCCGCGAAGGCAAAGCCCAAAATCCCATCGCGAGGGATTGAAAACCTCGTGATGGCCTCGATCGCTGGGGCTCCCAGCCCGCCGTCGCACTCGGATTCCACCAATGCTTCTACCACCCTCTCGGGAAAGCGAAAGCGCGACGACACGATAGAGGTTCAAAGTCACATAAATGGCATCACTGAATCGAAGAACAACCAAACGGGCGAAGACCCACAAGCCGTAATTCGGGACTTTGTTGATGTGCTTAAAGCGTAAGTTATACTCGCTCCTTCAAATTGCAAGGATTTCATATTCCCAAAACATCTTTTCCTCATGCCGCCCTTGCTCGGACAGAGGTAGAACATGCATTTATTGATACCATATCCAGTCACGACTCTGACCCCTTCGTCCTTACACGACCTCTCGCAGAACGTGCTTCCTCGACCGAACCTCAAGCAAAGCGGCAGAAAGCTGAGGGTAGCGACGAAGCATCTACCGTTATTACGCGTTCATCCGCGAACCTCTATTCTACCCTCGATGACGTCCTTGAGGATATTGATTCGGCAGTTTCTGATATTATGAAGGAGCTGGGGCTGTCGGACGATGCTGTTCGGAATCATCAATTCACACCTCTTTCGCACACCCAGATCGAGGTGTCTGCGAAGGTTTCCTCTTTCAAAAAGAGAGCGCACGATCTTGCGCAAAAGAACAAAGCCGACAACCAGAAGATGGCCGGTATGAATGGTACCGTTTCGTTGGCGAACGGTGGCTTGGGCTCCAAAGCATTCACACAAATCAATGCGAACCCGGGCGAAAACAAAGCGGTTCTCACTCTTTATGGAAATACTGCTGGGGGGCCGCGACAGCTCTTTTCGAGTAAACAGAAACTGGCATCAGTTAAAGGAGAGGTTCAAGACACCACACTGCCTATCCAAGATGCCGGGCTCCCCAATGGTATCACCACGACACATATTGTGCCTATCGATTCTTGTGGCGTGATTGAGGAAAATAAACGTGTACCTACATTGGGCGACCTATTCCCGACTCCCCCTACTCTACCGACCCTGCAACCACCCAAGCCTTCGAAAGTTGCAACGACGCGATCATCCACAGTAGGCTGGTATCAGCCAGCTACAGCAGATCCTTCTCCCAAAAGTTCAAGCTATTTCAAACAATCGATTTCGACTGGCCAATGGCTCGATTATAGCAATACCTCTGCGGTGCAAGATAATAAGAGAAAGCAACGTGACCGAGCCATGAGCCTTGGTGGATCTAAAGCACCCCAACTGGATATTGATGCCGCTGAATCTGAAGCTGCAAAGTTGGAAGGGCTCTTCCGAGGTGCTTATTCTAGCTTCGCTCCAACCAAAGATGACGCAGCGGCTATTGTTCCCGAAGGCCAGCTCAATCGCGCTTGGTGGCAGCGATTTGGGGAAAAGAGTTTCCAACGATTGGTAGAGAATGCGAATGAGCTTGATGGTGTTGCCATCGATTCTACTGAAACTGGCCCAGCAAAGATTGAAGACGACGTTGACGAAGACGAGAAGTTCCGTGAAGCTGTGGAGATGTTCGAAAAGGAAGCGATAGATCCCAGCCTCGGGACTACTGTTGAGAAATCAGTGGAGGAGAAAGATGTCGACGAGGTTCTCGAAAGTATCTCTGAGCTACTGGAGACATTGAACTCCTACCAGCGAATTCGCCATTTGTCGCTAAATCCGACAAATCGCCCCATGGGACTCCTCTCTACTACTGACACGACAACCCTCGGAACTCCTTCAAAGCCTAGCGAATCAGAACTTGCAACATACGAAGTTCTCAAGTCTCAACTTGCATTAATGATCGCTACTCTACCGCCGTTTGCCGTTGCTAAGCTCAATTCTGATCAGCTGGCGGAGCTGAGCATCAGCACTAAAATTCCTATCCCAATGAAAGAATATAACGGGGTTATGGAGGAAGACGAGGCATCTAGAACGAAGCTTGCAGGATTGGCTGCACCTTCTACCGCTCCACGTGCTGCTCAACCTGTATCGCTCCCACGCAACAATTCCGCTGCTTTCTTTGGCAACCAATATTCTGCACAACGCCCTGCAGGGCCTATACCCCAGCAGTACTATGGTTCTCAGACACCGATTCGGCAACCACCGAACAATTATCAACGACCACCTGCCACTGCTCCTGCTCCTTACCCATTGCAACGACCTGCATCTGCTACACCTTATAGATCAGCCCCATACGCAGCGCCGGCATATGCGCACCAGGCTCCTAGGCCCATCCCTCAACAATATAACCCACCGTATCCTCCACAATACCCTCATACACCCGGTGCACAGCCTTATGCTCGTCCTCCTACCCAGCCTTACCAAGGCATGCCACAGTCTACTTCTCAGACACCTATGAATGGGCGATATCCGAGCCAGCCTTCTTACCCTCAGCAAGCTCCGGCACAAAATGGGCTTGGCTATCCATATGGCAATGGTATTAATGCCAATCGCCAACCTTCTCCTCAGAAGCCGCTTTATAGCCCGCAACCAACCCCCTCTCAGTTGCAGGGCCGACCTTCATATTCCACACCAACTCCGCCCACGTCTCAAGGGACCCGTCCATACCTTCAAAATCCATTGAGCCAAAATTCAATGATGAACGGAGGCTCTTCTCAGTCACCGCAACCACAGCACACGCAACCAGCTCTCGGCCCTACCAATTACAGCACATTCATGACAACCGCGGAGCAGGCAAGTATGATGGAGCGTCAGCGGGCACAACTGGCACAGCAGCAAGGCTTGCAACAGCAAGCGAGGAACGCAGCACAGGCAGGTGCAATGGGATCTCCATCTAAGACACAAGTCAATGGCAATCCAGTTGCTGCTGGACTATGATTTGATAAGAATGGCGCAGGGGTTAATTGAAATTTGATGCTCTAGGGGGAATCCAGGGAGAAATCATGGGCTAGGCAGGTTTAATTCCTAGGATAATGGCTGGATCTGGCGTTGGTTTGATTGTAGAAGGGGGTCCATGGGTTCATTTGCACCACACGGTATTATGGGGCTTCAGATGTACAATATAGCTCGAGCTGGCAAACTGTATAAGTATAGAGCTTTTCAATGCAATTGCACGTATAAAATACATAGAGTTCACTCCTTGTGCTTACAAAAGTCTAAGACTACCATGAAAATGTTTTCTTCTCGTTCTGCCCTTGGCATATGAACTCTTAAATTCTATAGATTTTAAACCCAACCACAAGAGAACCTGGACTTTTATCAGACTTAGACGTGTCTCTTTAGCAAAACGACGACCCGATCAAGGTACGCCAAATCCACAACTGCATAACAAACCAAACAATAGAGAAGTAAACAGTTCAAATCGAAACCCTTTTTTGCCCTCCTTGTAGGTAAGCGTCGCTTTCTGCCAAATAGCAGCCCTTCATGAAACCTTTACAAGAAAGAACTAGGAATAAATAACTGAAATTGCGCCTGTACAACTCCCCTTATTCATCAGTCATGTGAAATCAATGTTTCCCTCCGCCCTGGGATCTAAGCAGGTACCGAAAGAGGTTTGCGCGTGACCTATATAGAGGTCGATGGGTGGTGCTACGCCAGCGTTTAGGAGGATGTCGGTGTTGCAGAGGATGACGAAGGAAGTGGTGGATATTAAGCTAAGGCATTGAGGAGTAGGTTGTATCCTTGGGCCCAGGTCAGGTGGCTGTATTGCTGGTTATGGTTGCTACTGGCGGAGAGGAAGTGGATGCTGGTATAGAGCTCGAAGTTGAGGGGATCGAGGAGAGTGAACGGATGGAAGAGGGAGATGACGAGACTACCTGGCTGGACAGACTGTTAGTCCTCAGTCATTCCTTATGCAGAATGAATACCCGTACCCAGCAGCTTTATGATGCTTCTTTAGCACTGCAGCCGCAACTCCCCCTCCAATCGCACCACCGATCACTAATGTTATTGAGACCGCAACCAGGATCCAAAATATCTTCGGCGATAGTCCGCATATCGTCTTCTTCCTATCTTCCTCAAAGTACGATTTCTCGCCATCAGGTTCTCCGCCGTTATGAGCTCCTCCATTACTATAACCCGTTGGTATTTGCGGCCGCCAATTAGCCTCCGCAGGGTTCGAATACGCGTGATAGCGGTTGGGGGAAATCTGTTCCATTTCTCAGTGTCCTCTAATAGACAGCCTCATCCAGACAATGCAAGAAGCCAAATAAAATATCAAAAAATGCCAGAGTATGCGAATACATGATAAGTGATGGATAACCTTATTTCAAGGATGGCGAGAGAGCTATTTTAAGTCTCCCAGCTAGAATTATGTGAGAAATTCTCAGCACTGTGCGACAAATGGAACGTACTCAGCATCATCAGGGATGATCGGTTCGATCCGTTATCACAATTGGGCAATTCCTCACTTGTTTTCTGGCGAAGTGGTCATGGGAATTCTGAAAAGATGCACCAACGTGGCAAGGCTGCGGCGCGCGCGTCTGTCTCACGATAAGCAGCTTCCGAGGAGGGCGAGGTAAATCAAGTGCCGCACGAAAATAAAACATGTTGGATGCCTTGGAGGGGTTTAAGGAGAGGGGAGGCTTTATCAAGCACTGCCTCTCCCTTTGGCAACGCCGCATTTTGTGTTTGAAAACAGTGTGATGCGGTCAAGGTAGCGAATGCACCCGTGAGTTATTTCTTGAGATTGGGAAAAAAAAGAAAAAGTCGTATTAACAGATAGAACAAGTGCATAGAATAAATGTAATACCAAAAGGATTAGCATTCTCTTTGACATTGAAAAATAGAATCGGTCTCAGAGATTGGATCTTCCCTGTACAAGGCAGCTGTGGAAACTCTTCCAGTCGGTATAACGAATTTATTCTCATATCCGCCTACACCTTAGTAAACGCCGAACGAAACAGAACTTAATATTACAGAATCTCTTCCGATCTACTTCTTTTCCTCGAAGTAGAATTTTCCCAATCCAGCCTCATCGGGACTTCCCAAAGGCGGTCTTTTTTCCTCGTCATCGTCAAGACTGCCCTTCAAAATTCTCTCTGCAGCCTCAACCCCAGAGCCTGGATTCCCTACCGGCACTCCACCTCTAGCAGCAGTGTCAACGTACCCACTCGCCGTGTCATCTGCTAACCCATCTATCATCCTCGCCTCCCGTTTCTGTTGCTCAACGGTAGCAGATGTGTTCCCACTGAGCGGAGTTGAAGATGCGCTGCTCTGCCACTGGTTTGCCAACCCGCTCCTTGGTACCAGATTGCTCCTAGAATACGTCGGTCCACTAACCGTACTGCCGGCTCCCTCTCCAAAGCCAACGAGAGATATGTCGTCACTCATACCGTCAACGTCCATATCCTCATCCATAACACTGGCTGAATATCTGTCCCGATCATCGTTGGTATCCATGCTCATTTGATCCACCTCTCTATCATCATCATCTCCTTCCGTGTGCCCTTTGGTACTCCCGCTGGCCCATGTTGTGGTTCGCCCGCCCGTTGACGCTGAGGCAGAGCCTACAGTCGAAACCTTGGTCGTGTAGACAGGATTGCCTGCTGCATCGAAGTAACCTGGTATCTGACCTGTACCGGCAGGGCCAGTTCCTGGACTACCTGCGGCATTGGGATTTGCACCTCGCACTGTAGAAACACGCTCTAGACCCGCTAGACGTGAGATGCGGTCCGCGCGCTCGGCTTCAAGTGTGTTGCTTGAAGCGCTGTGACGATGACCCAAGCTGCCGGTATTCTGGAAAACGGTACCACGATGGCCATCTTTGATTGCGGTCGTAGAGAGCGCGGATAGGGATGTGGTGGTGGAGTTCGGGGTGCCACTTCTTGCGATCAGCCTGGTGGGGGGAGGAGGGGGTGCACTCGCGCTTGAGAGCTACTTACGGAGCCTCAGTAGGGGTGTCAGGGTTGGATGGAGGATCTGGCATATCGAGCAACGTTGGAGTAGCCATTTTGAATTGTCGAGATAAATGGATAATTCCTTACCTGCGTCGTGAGTGAGCTTTGTGTCCTGGAGAAAGCGGGTTCGATGACACTGGATCGATGATGTACCTGTTTCGCTCCTTGAGAACCCCAGCCTATCGCATATCGCATAGCAAGGCGGTCCGCCAGACCCAGCCTTGCCGAGTGGATTCAGTGGATTGGCCTAGGAAGTTTAACGTGCCCGGCCAATCATGTACAAGTGTCACGGCATCAATAACCGTGTCAATATGTCATGTTTGTCTATGGACCTGTCATATCGCGCACTACTGTACCTAACAACGGAATAGGCCCCTACCTACGTAGGAGTCGATTGCATTTACCTCTATGTGGTTGCAACATGACAACTAATGGATATGCAGGTGTACACAATACGGTACATTACAGTACGGTACATTATTATTAGTAGGTAGATCTCTAATACGTAGTAAAATTTCAACAAGGGGGAATTGAAATTATCCTACCCCGCCATTTCCGTTTCCATAGGTGTTGCCCCTATTGACAAGTCATAATCCTCGTGATTTAGCAAGCCAGCCAAAGAAAGAGAGGGACATAGCTTTATATCTCGTCTTCGCCACCTTCGTTCTCGTCCGGAGTTTCTTTAGGGGTAGAAGTCGGAGCTTTCTCTTCCTGCTTCCTCCATAACCCTGCTAAGAACTCGCTCGTGCTCGCCTCGTCAACCCCCTTATCTTCTCTCTTCTTCAGGAACCGCGGAAACCTCAAGCTGAGCCCCTTCTCTTCACTTACCAACCCTATCGCCGCCTTGTACGTAGGACTAATCGTTATATCTGCAAACGCTCTGTGAACGTTAGCCAGGCAACGAAATGTGGCTCACAGGGGTCACTTACATCTCCCAAACCTCCTGCGGTTCAAACCAAACATCTGGATAACCCCCTTCGTACTCAATATACGCCGGTTTGCCGCCAAGGACGTGCTCGCCGCCTTCCTCATAGTATTCTTTATTTGCTTTATAAAACGTATCTGTGAATCCACTGATACATTTGCAAACTGCCTCCAGGCTTCCAGTTTCCTCGTTCCGCACTGCAAGGAGAATTGGAGACCAGAACTTGGCTTTTCGTCCTTGCCCGTGCCAGCCGGCAATTGGTATTAGATCCAAGGTGTCGAAGGAGGTGCTATAGTCTTTCTTGACCTTGAGCCAGGATTCGAGACGCTTGTCAGGTTCGTAGGTTGAGAGCAGGGCTTTACGGCGATTTTTCTTTGGCTCCTTTTCATTGTCTGACTTTTTCACTCCTTTGCTACTATTAGCAGCAGGTTCGAGTGTAACTGCGTCTTCTTCAACCTCCTCTTTCAGTTTCGGGTTCGGGAGGTTGTCGAGAATTTTCACCATCAAACCTTCACATTTGCTATCCGTTGCACTTTTAAAGAATTCGAGAATAATCTCTGAATCTTGAGATGTGGCGTCGATGCTTTTCACCCAGGTAAATTTGTTGGGAATCTCTGTGAATAGGCTTCGCAGGAGCTCTCGTCTCTCTCGAAAGGGCCGATCTAGCAATGGTTCGCCGTTCAGATACATCAGATCAAAGGCGAATAAGCAGACTGAGACTTTGACGCTCCCAATTGCTACGTCTTTCCGCGCCCTATTAGCCAGTGTTTGGAAAGTCTTCAGTTCTCCAGATTCCTGATCCACCGCAACGACTTCGCCCTCCATAATAAAGCTGCTCACTCCATCGCCGCTGACTTTCGGGATCAAAGCCACTAGGTCGGGATATTTGTCGGTCATGAGCTCAAGATGCCTAGAAAATATCGAGACTTTGCCTTGCGCATCACAATGAATCTGAGCTCGCTGGCCATCGTATTTATACTCACAGCTGAAATCTCGACCTTGAAGCTTAGTGAGCATTTCGGAGAGGTCTCTGGTGATGCTTCCCAACATAGGGAGGAGAGGAACGTGCAAAGCAAGGCCACATCTAATGAGGAGTTCGTCGCAAACTCCAACTTCAAGAAGTGCGGGAATCAAATCGTTATAGTTCGGTCTTTTGGCGAAACACGCCTTCACAGTCTCCTCCGCTTTAGCCCAAACCTCAGCCAAGGCATCCTTCTTGAGTTTACCTAGCTCTTCCTGCGATTTGAGAGGGAAGTCTGCACCAGGGGGGCGTGATAGTAGGAAGGCTCGAGAAAGAGCAATCAACATGGTTGTTTTGACGGCTCCAATACGCAACTGTATGGCTGTCAGTGAAGCTTCAAACAAAGGGTTGAAGAATGCTTACATGCTGACAAAGAGTTCTGACGATGTATCGACTTTCTTCCGCTCCTCTTGCATCTTGCAGTAACTTGTTGACAATGCTTTGCTTGATTTCCCCGCTTCCTGTTCCCTGAGTACTGGCTATTTTAACCAGCGACTGATAGACGCCTTTGATTGTAAGCGGCTTAGGCTTCCGGAGTGTAAAACTTTGTTTCTTCTTGGCTTCAAAGGCCACATCGCCAGCATCGCCGACCTTATCGTAAAGTGCCTTGAGAGACCGGCTATCTAGACCACACACCGTCTTTAATGCTTTCGAAATCGCGGATCCACCGAGTCCAAGCTCAAGTGATATATACGGTGGGGATATGGAGTTGGTCGCCAGCCATACCTGGAAGCCATGTTAATAAGGATTGCTGAAGATGTGAAGCATAACAGCTTGCACAAGAAATAGCTAGCATTAACATATGACATACAGCAAGGTATGTGTTCAAGAGATATAGCAAAAGCAATATATTGTACGTACAGTAGGTAGTAGACTACTTGGATCCCCCTCGATAATAACCCTCAGAGCATTCACAAGAGTATCAACAATCTTAATCCGACTCTGAGTGCTGTTGATAAGCACAAAGCATCTAGTAAGAAGTGCATAGGATGCATTGCCTCCGTCAGCAGCCCAATGACTCTGTAAATCTTCGACATACTTGGAAGGTTCAAAAGTTAAGGGACTCTCATCAAAGGGTATATTCGAGGTTATGGCATCTTCTGCCGAACCAGTTGACTGCAGAGAGAGTGTATTCTTTCCTTTTGGCTCTTGCTGTGGCTTTTCAGGTCTTGAATCCAGCCTGCCAACTTCATCCTCATTCTCTCTTTTGCCATCCGAATAGATATCATACGTGGGTTGAAAACCTATACTGCTGTCTGGAGGGCCTGACGAATCCAATATCCCGTCTGCCTCCTTGCTAGCAGAATTCTGTCTCGCGGAGTTGTCACTGGCTTCCTCTTGATCCCACTCCGCTTGTAGCTTCCTGGCCAGCTGTTCATCTGTCAACTTGGATCCTTCATTAGGAGACTCGATATCTCGCTCTCCATGGTTCGAAGCTCGGGAAGGAGGGTTCTGCTTCTGTTTTCCGAAGAAGAAATCAAGGTTTCTGGATGGGGCAGGAGAGGATTTAGAGCTGTCATTGAGCTTCCGCCGTTTCGCAGGACTGCCCATATCGAAAGCATGGATATCAGGTATGAGATAGCAGCGTTCAGCTAGCTCGAAGTGACCGTCAACGGGTGTGGTTGACGTCAGGTACTTTCTCTTGCATCACGGTTTCCGCGCTTTTCCTTATAATTACCCCAATTCCATGCGCACAATTACTATCCCTCAGTAAGCTGGCGCCTGTCGAAATGCCTTCTGTGTCCAGCTCAGTACATTATGTTGCTGAAGTCGTGTACGGTGCGTCGGTGCGTCATCGAGGCTTGGAATCGCGCTCGAAGCAACGCGCTCGCCAAATCGGCCCTGGACCGGAAAATCAATGCCCCAGATGAGATCTGGACAACTACCTTGCAACTTCAGCAAGCATCACTCACACGATTAACCACCAACGATGGCCGCCCCCTCAGCATATCGGGACCCAAGCCCTGTGGCTATCCTCCTTGATCCAAAAGCGGAAATCCCAGTTGGAGAAAGAGACATCAGACTGGAAGACTACCTTAATGACAAGATTCAGACGCCTGCGGATTTTGGTGACCTTGCTGGTCTCATAGAAAATGTGGAGACCCAGAAGAAGCAATTGGAAAAGCAGGTCAGTATCCACATTGCAGGACGGTTTCTGAGCTCTCTGGCTAATACAACCACAGCTAGTTGAAGCCAGAGCCAAGTTGGAGGAATCAAAGCGGGCCTCTGCCAACCACAATTCCCTAATACTCCAGCGAGCCAAAGAATTCGAGGAGCAACAAAACAATGTCTATAAACGTCTGATGATGGTCATCTCGGCCGATACACCTGAGCAAGCTGTAAATCGTCTTAAAGGGCCTATGGAGAAGCTTCGAAAGGTTGACCTGGCTACGGAATATGTCGAGTTGCTAAAGGAGGTCGACGATCTTACCAAAGATGCCCACAAACATCTCCCTGCAAACCCAAAGGAAGCCCTTGGACCATATACGCAGTTGAAAGAGCTTGCCAAATTGTTGAACAACCTGCAGGAGTCGGCCGAGGGAGCGGCTGTTCACCTTGTCAATTATGTTGATCAAGCCTCCACCCGATTGTGGGAGCAAATGAAGAAGATAATGACGGACGAATTTGAATCGATACTGCAGAAGTCAAAATGGCCGGACAGTGCAAGCGTGCCTACTAGGGAATGGAGTGATTGCTTTGAGAAACTTCTAGACCTACAGTATCCAGAACTGATGGATGCGCGGGAGCCTATCATTCTCCTCCCTATGGGCGTCTTGGCCAAAACATTTATACAACAATTTAAATATCATTTTTTCAGCGATAAGCCTACAAACGCTGCAAACAAGGTTAGCATCTACCTTATAGTTACGAGCCATTTGCTGACGTTCGAAGCTTGGTGACTATTTCCTTTCATGGTTCGTTGGAACTATAGAGAACTGGGAACCTTTCCTGCGTGAGAACGTGGGACCTGTACTAGCAGCGCATTTTCGAGGCAACGTGCTGGCAGGGAACTCGATATACGTGGATCCTGTGGCGGCATTCATCACCGCCCTGCTGCCTGTTTTGAGGGAGAAGGTTAGCAGCCTGTTGAAAGAGATCTCTAATGATCCTGGATTATTGAGCCGATTCATGCATCAGTTATTCGAATTTGATGACACTATCAGAATCAAATTCAGTTATGACGCCGGAAATGTTCAGTTCGGCTGGAAGGGAATCACCTGGGAGGTCCTGGATACCTATTTCGATCGATGGTTGCAGGTTGAAAAGGACTTTGCACTTCAGAGATATCAGGAAATCATAAAGGCGCCAGACAGCATCGACTACGATAGTACCAGCCCAGGAAAGACGAAGTACACATCTGTTGCAACCCAAGTCACGGACCTTCTACTGACTGTAACGAAATCGTACAATCGTATCCGGAGATTTCGGAACAAAATGTATTTTCTGATCGAAATCCAAGCGGAGATTCTTGACCAATATCATGGCCGACTTAGTGACTCTCTGGATGCATATCAGACAATCCTATCTCCTCTAGGCCGAAGACTCCATGGAGTCACAAAAGAAATGCAAGCTGAAGTCGAGGGAATTGCCGGTTTGGAAAGTCTTTGCAAGGTTTACGGAAGTGCCGAACACATCATAAGCACCTTGAACGAGTGGAGTAATGAGGAAGTAAGTTACCCTTTAGAGTCACATCATAATGCACTAACAGAGCCTCAGTTTTTCGTGGCACTTTGGGACGAATTGCAAGGAAGAGCGAAGTCAGCCAGTGTGGACGACAACCTTGCTGGTGAGATGACTTATACCACCGTCAAAGAATCCACATCTACGGCCGTGGGCTCAGATGCGGATGGATCCGTATTTGATATGACCATTCAAGGGTTTAGCCGTCTCCAGAGCAGAGCTTTAGATTTCCTCATGCAGGCGCCGAAATACAGCTTCCCGCAAGCTTTTAAACCCTACCTTAGTACTCCGCAATGGACGACAGTGGGCGACGAAGTTCCAAATCCCTCTATTATCGCAATTACTCCCGAACTAGACCAACCCCTCCAGGTATGTTTACTCAGTTCGTTTATCTAGTCTCATCGAATACTTGAGACCGAATTCGAATTTCATGAATCAACTATTGACCTTCGAGCAGACATTAAAACTGGAACTAAGCTTTCTACAAAGAGCGCTTGGCTTTTCACCATTTCGAAGAATCTGGCGGGCAACGTTGGATGCTCTCCAGGATCTCTTATGGAGTGATGTCCTATTCAAACAGAGATTTACAGCATTAGGCGCAGCACGGTTTATGCAGGACGTCGTCACCATGGAGAGATTGGTAGATGCACCCACCCTGGGTATGCCGAAGCTAAGGGAGGGCGTCCTTTTACTGAATTTGCCCTTAACTGTTGAGGATGGCCAACCTGGTCCGTCGCTTAAGGATGCCTGCACTGAATTATCGGGTAGTGACTCTGAGGCCGAGGCTTTCGTCGTAAAGATGGGGTATAACTATATCAGTGGACATGAAGCTAAATCTATCCTGCGGAGAAGAGTTGAGACCTTTGATTGGGGGGTCTTGTAGTCGTAGGAACATTATTAACGACTGAATAACTAGATATTCGAATTGGGGACGGTGACGAAGGCTGTTATACCCAGATCAAATGTAGAAAAGCATCTGAAGTATCTCACGGACATCAAAAGCTTCAATTATTTTGTTTGAAAAGGACATGCTTGTTATCATGTCTTTGTACTTCAAATCTTGGAGAGGCTAATCACTGTTACTATTTGGACGTCCCACTGTACTAGTAATTCAACATTCTGCTCCTCAAGTCGGGCCGTCGGTTTCCCAAGGTACCTGGAATATTGACAGATTCCCTAAATGTATTAATGCATTTCTACCCCGCACAGCGGAACATCATATCCTTCAGCAGTGATCATCAGCATGCAAGTCCTCCACACTCACATGGCAGTAATTGCACTGTAGCCAAGCTAACCTAATAATCTCTCACTTCCCCCCACAAGTATTCCTCCTCTTCTCCCACCAGAAGTTGTCATTGCGGGAAGAAAGCAACTTCAGAGATGTTTAAAAATCGGCCGGATCAAAGCGTCAGGCACCTAGCAAAGAGCATCACTATGGAGTAGTAGCTATAAGCGCTAGAGATCTTTTGAGTTTCGGAGGCAGAACTCGACAGGCGTGACGGAATCATTATATCGTATGGAGGACGCCCCAAGCACGTAGTACCGGTCCTTCAACACGGAAGGCTGACTCCCCCTTTGTGGTGATATCATGGTCCGTTGAAATACGGCGTAAAGCGGATACCGAGGTCCGCCAAGGGTTGATAATGCAGGGGGTTTCCGGGGCAGGAGAAGAGCCCCTTTTCCAGGCCAGAATACTACAGCCACATGCTTGTCTCTTGGAAAAGGGTCCTCCTGTCTATATCGGCCAGTGGACTTATGAAGTATGTAACATGTAAGATGTGCTTGGAGCAAGATACAGCTGGATCTTTGAATACCTCAGGTAGTATCTTATGTAATCCAGAGTCCTATGGGACGCCTTTCGAACAAGTAATGCTGGCCAATGGCTCGAGTCATTCGCATCCGATCGTGCTTTGGGAGGACCAAAAATAATCCAGCATTAAAAAGAAACGGCCAAGCGCCAAGCGCCAAGCTGTCGTATATTATTCTGGAGCTGGACCGTGGTCGTCCATTCTGCCGTCTCACTCCTCTCTCTCACCCCTCTCCCCGTCTTCCTCGCTCCTCTCCCGAACTTGGGTGGTCAGAGTGTGAGCCTGCGCCGCACAAGGGAGACTTTGGATTCACGACCGCTGCGCTCGCCCTCTCTTCGCTTTTAGAAGAATGAACCTTCCTTGCCAGACCCGACATTACTGAGAAACGCAGCATTCATTCCGCAGTCTCTCTCTGGTCCGCGTACCATCCCTCTCTCCGACGCTGAATTCTCTTCTTCCCTTCTTTCCCTTCGATAATGAATGCCAACGGCTTTTCCGAGATGATTAACGGCATCTGGCGCATCAAATGGTACAAATACAGATATGTGATCCTCGCAGCTTTATGCTTCAACATCCTCGTCATCAATTCCCTCTTCTTCGAATCCTCGTTCATCAACTTCAGTCCCTTTAAATCCCGTCCTGCTGGCGATGGCGAATCTAGAGGGTCTGAGCCACCGCCGTCTTCTTCCTTGTCCTCGGATCCCCATTCCTTACTCTTCAATATCCGAGACTACAACTTCGATGGCGAATATGTTTCATGGCCTCTGAAGCGAGTGTGCGAGGAAACAGAATGGGTGCCGGGGTTGACGTTTGTTTGTGATAACAATTCTGGGGGGATTGGCAATATCAGGAACTTCATCTTGACCTGTATTCGATATGCAATTGATGCAGGCGCGTCGCAGCTTATCATGCCCAGGATACAAAGACGATCCGAAGATGACCTGGCGAACATCTTTACGACTGGTTTCCAGCCTTTTGAATACTTTTTCGACAAGGCTCATTTCATCCACGCCTTGAATACTTCCTGCCCGCAGATGAAGGTATTCGATACAGTGGAGGAAATACCAAATGCGGCCTCAGTTTTGAAGATTGAGGAATTCTACCCCAAAGACTTAAATATCGATTTGGATGGATGCGATGGCCGCGGCGTGAATAGGCATCTGGATTTTTTTCGACCGAAGTTCCACGCCTGGCTCGAGACAACGCGCCGCAAACCTACTGCAGAGGCACCGGTAACCATCAGATTCAAATGGGCGACTTTCTTCGAATGGCCAATATATCGAGATGGACCGGAGTTTGCATCGACTTTTGGAGACATCCTGAGGATACGGAAGGATTTACAAGAACTTGCTGCCAAAACGCTGTCCGCGATGTCTAAATTCGCCGGTGTGGAACCACATCCGCCTACTCTGGACGCTCCATATCTAGGTGTTCATCTGAGAACCGAGAGTGATTCCCTAGGTTTCTGGCCCAACTTTGAAGAGCAGAGTAATGGCTACCTGCAACAAAGCCAGAAATTGGGCCTTAAGTACGCTTATCTTGCCTGTGGAGATGCCAAAGAGGCGAGGCGATTCACGGACAAAGCAAGGAACCAGACAATGCCATTACATGTTGCCACGAAGATGACGTTGTTGCAGGGAGAGGATTATCAACGGCTAACAAACATGAGCTGGGATCAGCAAGCTCTTGTGGACTTTCTGGTGCTATCGAAGAGCACACACTTTACAGGATGCTCCTTCTCTTCATTCACAATGAACATCGCATTCAAACGACATTTGATGACCGGTGGGCTCAACACAAGACAATGGAAGAGCCCAGGAGATCAGTTTTCAACATTGATTGGGCGATTCGAAAGTTGGTACGGCGATTGGATGTTCATGTACGAATGCATGTGGCCCTGATTTGGTTTGTGCATTGTCGGTTGCAGACCTGGGGTTATGTGTTCAGATCATACTCGCCGCTATTCTAGTTGAGAGCTCCCTCCATCCAACCAGCGGGCTCTCGGCTATTCCCCATGATTCTCGTTACCTTGGCTAGGAAGAGAAGAAAGCGGTTCCTCCAATTCTGGCGCCTGGAATTTACTGGCTCCAATTTCCTGGCCTCGCTTTGATAGCTTTAGGCATGTGAGAATTAGGAGAGCTAGGCCACTGTGTGATCAATAGCTGGGCCCTTGCATGGAGCATGGCAAGAGGTGATATTGTAAGATGGAGTTTCGGAGTACCCAAGACCTTCAACCGAGAAGTCGATTGCATTGAAGGAGTTTTTGGAGGTGCCATGAATATGTGGAACATAGTAATGAGAATAAATAATAACTTTCTAACCTCCTACTGTACTGGTAACCTACTTTGCGCAAGTATGACATCTTGGTACTTACTTGAATGTCGACCCTTTCGGAGTAGTGTTTCGTAGTGATGCTTTCAACGAGACATACCAGAGTGATACCAACATGAACTTTCCCCCATCTTTTGATAATCACGTGCTACTATGACTAAGCGAGCACCTCATAATTTAGCCCGACCAAGAGAAAACTTCCAATAACAAGGCCCCATTCTCGTCTCAATTCACATATACCCTTTCGCATCTACCTATAGAGAGTGACAGCAGAACGCGACCTCTGTGATAGCTAGTTGCTATCTTAGAAAGGGAGAGCTTGGAAGACAATTGGAGTAGCGGGGAGGGGTAATATCCAAGATGGCGGACGCGGCTGCTGAACTCGACGAGGGGGGAACGGTGCGCACATTGAAAGATCTCTTTGCTGGTGCTGCAGGTGGTGTTGCCCAGGTTTTGTTGGGTGAGCTTGAGATCCCTTTCTTTGGTCAATTGCTTTGCTTTCTTTGATCTTTGATATCGGATCACGTGCTATCAGAAGTGGGGTTATTGCAACGAAAAGCTGTCAACATTCTTGTGCTACGTTTCTCTTCTCAGAGTGAAAGTCAGATGAAGTTCTCATATATGCTGTGATTGAATTGGTGTCAGTCGGATGAGCTTAGCTGACATCCACATAGGTCAACCGTTTGATATTGTCAAGGTCCGACTACAAACGTCGACCACCTACCCCAACGCCCTCGCGGCAGCAAAAACAATCTACAAAACAGAAGGTCCGCTTGCCTTCTACAAAGGTACCTTAACACCTTTGATTGGTATTGGGGCGTGTGTCTCCGTGCAGTTCGGCGCCTTCCACGAAGCACGTCGCCGCTTTGAAGCCTACAATGCCTCCAAGAACCCTCTACAGTCCCCGGGACTCTCCTACCCTCAGTACTACGCTGCAGGGGCTTTTGCCGGTATTGCGAACTCGGTAATTTCGGGGCCAATTGAGCATGTCCGTATTAGATTACAGACTCAACCTCATGGAGCCAATAGGCTCTACTCGGGTCCTTTGGACTGTGTGCGTAAACTCTCAGCTCACGAGGGCGTGCTGCGTGGCCTCTACCGCGGCGAAGCAGTCACCATCTTGCGAGAAGCACAGGCCTACGGAGTCTGGTTTCTGGCGTTTGAATATATGATGAATGCAGACGCTCTACGGAACAAGATCGAGAGGAAAGATATCCCGAGCTGGAAGATTGCATTCTATGGTGGTTTAGCAGGAGAAGCACTGTGGTTGGGGAGCTATCCATTTGATGTCGTGAAGAGCAAGATGCAGAGTGATGGGTTCGGGGAGAAGATGCGGTACAAGAGTATGCGTGACTGCTTTGCCCAAACTTACAAAGCGGAGGGACTCAGAGGCTTCTGGAAAGGACTCGGACCGACTCTTTTGAGGGCTATGCCAGTCAGTGCGGGCACATTTGCGGTGGTGGAGATGACTATGAGAGCTATTCACTAGGGGAAGAAAAGGATAGTAACCATAGCTGATATCATAATCCGTTGGATGGTTTTCGATCCGCCCTTAAGGGAGAAGTTGCGCCAGTACCTCGCGTAGGACTGAACGGAATTCTAGGGGAGGAGCGCAGGGCTCCCTCTTGTACCTAGTACCTACCTATACCTCCAAGGCCTTGGACACCTTCCGCAATACCAGACTCGTTCACCCAGCGTCAGCCCTGATACGGAAATCTAAGCTCTTTCTTTCCACTTCATGTTATAAACATCCTAGCACCAGAATCCCCTCGATCGATCTCCGAATCCTCGTCCCCGGTATCAGATGAAGTTGGTTCTCCTATCAACCTGCATTATGGCGCTGAACATGGAGCAAAACGTCGCAACAGTGCTCACAATTTCCGAATCCAACCGTCATAACCTTCAATACCGGATACCTACGTCTCCCTGACCATGGAGGGAGGAAGCAGAGAGTTGATGAGGGTGTTCGGTGTTTGGAGCCTAGAAAGAGTTTGTCGTTTGATAGTGTTTTTTGGGGTTTGGGACTTGGGGACTTTCGATTTCTTATGAGGATTTCGTTTTTGGTATTGAAGATGGGCTTTCGTTGTTAAAGTCTTTCGTCCATCTTCCTTTCCTACTTTTCTCTTCTGTTTTGTCTCGTGTCGCTGGCTTTCTGGGGATGAAGGAGGTTTGATGATTTCCAGTTCTTGTGTTGTTGACAAGCGGCTCTACTCATGTCGAAGCCTTGTACGCTGCTTGAATAATTTAGACTTAAGACGTTGGACATCATCAGGTACTATCCAGATCCTACTTTCTGTACTTCCAACCTGCAATTCAAGCGGAAGCTTGCGAGTATAATCCCTGAGGGCTATTGTCATCTTAAAAACCGATTAGAGTAGTTGAACAATTAATTACGTCGGCCTCACCGCCAACAATGGCCACTGCTGTACTACGGTCAGTACGTAAAGTACCTACCAAGGCTGTTTGTTGGCGAGATGAGTTCACAAATTCCTTTTCCCGGGAGAGAAACAGGGAACGCTATTACAGCACCCCAACAGCTACTGTAGCTATAGTGCAGTCTGCTGTGCTCTTCAATTCCTAGCGTAGATAAGCAATACAATTGAACAGTGAGAAAAGTATATTGTAATCATTAGAAATGGGTGTCATAGCCACAGCCAAGTGACTTGTTCCGCAGTTATGCATCGCCACGGATAGGACCTTACGTGTGCGGCGTCACCGCATTCTCTACCTAGAAGCTCAGCGCAATCAGCACACAAATTGCGCTGCTATTATTACTTATGCGGCTTCACTTTTCTTTTTTACGAAAACTCCACGCATTTGGAGTAATAGTATCGTCGCGGCTATTGCGATCCGAGTCTTCAAGATGCTCAAAGGAAAGGCAAACACAATACCAAGCTCTAACTATACATACTTGTAAAAAGAAGTCATGATAACAAAGATCATAAGCAAAGCCCCAAGACATATCTCCATTATGATCTCCAGCAGGATGCATATCATCTCGGGCCAGATATTCCCACTTGGATTCGTCTCCACTCTGGGAATTGAGAAACGTCAACATGTCAAGAAGCCAATTCACGGTCTTTGGATGTGCCCATCATTGAACTGAGCAGAGGGCCCCAACTAACACAGACCTACATAGTAAGGCAAGGTTGGATCTCGACCTCCTATATGGCAGATACCCGGCGCGGAGATTAGGACCAGAGCAAGCTGTAGCCTTCAGGTGAACCCAGGCGTCTCAGGGTCTGCACAATGAACTGTGGGAGGGCCAAGCCCGTGTTTGATGTAAATTCGGTGTAGTTGCAATAATAAGTACTTCGCGGGCTACCTGAGTTTGCCCGGCCCCAATTTCGCTAGTGCCGTATTCCGCAGACTGCACAGCCATCAAGGATTCTCATCCTGCGCGCCTACTCCTACGAATAACAGCGGTCTAGGGATAGAGGCTAAAGCCCGATACGTCCAGGATGAAGTAGTCGGAGTATTTACTTTCTTGTTGGTGTTTTTTTGTTAAGAATTTGTTTCATTCACGCTACACTGCTCATTGTCTACCCATAGTTGGGGCGCTTGATAATACCAATTCTTTCCTCATCTTCAACACCTTATATTTTTGAGTTGGATTTCGTCAAACACTCCGTTGCCATAGGTGGAACAAATGGAGACTGCAGAATGGGAGACCCCCCACCCCCCGAAGCCGTCATCACGATGTCCAATTCCAGCAATATTTCTCAACCTCGAGGTTGGCCTATCTTTTTCTTCGGGCGAGCGCCGGACACACACCGCGTCTTTGAGATATGCCTCCAAGAGGATGGAAGAAAGATTATACGAGGAACGAATGCGGAAGCAATATGAGGAGGGGAGATATAGTCAACAACCTCCTGCGATCCTAACGCCGGGAGAGGGCTTCCAAGCCCATCGCCAGACCCGGCATCAACAACAGCAGGAACGGCAGCGGAGACTTGGCGTTCGAACTACAGAGCAACACGAAAGAGGCACTTCAGCCCCGCCGGCTGCGCTTGGTCGGACGCAACTCCTCAGTAGTCCCGCGTGCACACGGGCGCCCTCTTTCCCAAGGAATCGAGTAGTCTCATACGAAAGGACGAACCAACCTTTGCCCCCGACACCCTCCCAATTTCGTCTTGGGGAGGCAGACATGCCCTGGTCAGTACCTCCTTGGTACCCACCTTCCGAAGCAGAATCTCCCAGGGGTGAAAGTCCCGTTTCGACTGTTTCCGCCATTTCAGCTATGTCACCTGTAGAACAGGAAAATAATAGACTGCTCGACGACCCGCAGCGCGTAAGAGATCTGGAGGCACTCCATCAAGCGATGATGACGGTCGGTAGCTTGGGTAGTGATGGGTGGGAGCCAAGGTCCCGGGCAAGTATGGATGAAATATCCCGGGTCCCAAGCAGTGTTGGCTGGGCTGTCAGTTCGAACGATGCAGCAAACGGACCGCTTCTTTCGCCCTTTGGGCCTCCACCCTACGATGTTAGTCGGTGGGAACAACCACTTGCACGGACTCGCTCAAGACCGAGTACCTCTGGTGCATGATTCCTTCGATATGGCCAGGGAGGGCCTAGGGAAAGCAGCGATCAATCACATCTGAGTGATTGAACAGAACGAGTTCAACAATCGAAAGCCGTCCGCCAAACCTAGCATCGACTCCTTTCAGACCAATGATGATTTTGGCAATCATGCCTACTCTAATGGACGAACATGGGACTGATGGAACCCTGGTTGCAATATAAAAACGAAACTCAAGCCGATTTGTTTCGTTTCATGGACTTTGAGATCTTCAAAGGTGTATTCGAAATTCTTCTACCTCGAGTATACCTTTCACGGTGGAAGGGCAGGATGGTAGTGGATCCCACAAATGGATCGCTCCGTGTAATATTTAGTGGAAGAGGTCTCTTCCATACCAAAGAGGGAGTTTAGACGCGCTCAGTCCAATGATGTGAATGATTCAAATGAGGATAGTATGAAGGTCCATGTAAACTAATAATGGATGAAGATTATACCTAGTGGAAGCCTCTTCATAGTATGATATCACAACAGCGAAATTTCCAAGCAAGTCCACCATTCCCCATCCACGGTATTGCAGCAATATCCAGCTTGCTGCACATCGAATATCGATTTCAAATGGGCCTCATCACGGTCGAAGTCGCATCCTCATATCCCTTGGCTCCTTCGTCTTTTGTTGAAACGAGCCCCCGGAAACATTTGTTGGTGTTCGAACAGCACCTTCCCCTGGATCCTCGAAACTCCCTGATGCCTGCCCCGCTACTAGTTGGACGGCTATGGCGTTGGTCCCCGGGGAGAGCTTGTTGGATATTTGAGTGGCGGAGCTGATGCTGAAGTTGAAACCTCCAGCATCAAATAGCTTTGCCAAGCTATGCCAAAGCTCTGCATGGTCTGACGAGGTCGTTTGCAAAGCGTTTTGGATGGCCATCCATGTCGAACAACAACGAGATTCTGGTCCCGATGACAATATGTCAGTGTCCAGTAGCGGAGGACATATCGACTCAAAATGTTGGGAATGAAAGAGATCTGGACAGAGATGAGAGGACATATACCCAAGGCGGCAGCATTTTATCCTTCGACCGAAAGACTCGGGTCTGATATTAGATGAGAACGGTGGATTTTTCGAGCGTTGTGCTGAAAGACCTTATCCTTCAACATACCTAGGCCACACTCAGCAAGTCACAACTGGATGGGATGCTGATCTCACTAATAGAAACTGGGCTTGGAAAGGGGTTTCCATTCAATATCGGTTTTCGGTTGTCATCCACATGAAGCAGGAGACTCGATGCATCCTGGTACAGGGAAAGATGCTGTGGCTATTCTCTTGGTCGAAACTCTCCGCAATCTATCCTCTCAAGACTGTCTTGAATCTGGATATATGCTATCGTGGTAAAAGAGGATCTCAAATAGATTTCTTTGTCAACTTGAGCCACTCGATACCTATAACCCATGAAGTATCCCCATGGAATGACCCCCATGCATCATCTTGTCGGACACGGGATGCTTGTTATCATTACAGCAAACCCCTTCCCTAGCTCACCACTCATTTCCGCCCACCACTCACTTTCCGCCCTCCTCACACCTTCTCTCTTTCTACTTCCCCGCATCCTCATCGTCTATCTCCTCCACACTCTCGATCCTCCCCACCTGTCTGCTGCTATCTTTGATCGTCTTCCCGCCCTCGAGCACCTGGTTCCCTTCCGAATCATAATACCTCGTCTCCTCGATCATCGGCCCGCCGAGATTCCGGCTCGTGGTATGGATCCGCGTCCCAGACGGGTCCGTATGTGCTGTTGCCTCGTACGCCTTGCCCATGGTGCGGGTCCCGCTATCAGAACTCGTCGTCGAGCAGCTGTAGGACGACACGGCGTAGCGTTGGCTGGAGAAGTTGTACGACATCTTCTCTGTCTTTTTTCAAGGAGGTCTCATGTGATGTTTTGATTTTTTTGGTCTGCTTTTGTCCGTTGTCTTCTGCGGGCAATTTATGCTGCTAGTATTCAAGAGTACTAGATACTTGTTGGAGCTTCTTTATCCTTAGGCGCCTTTGCCGTTGACATCACAAATCAGGAGGGGTTGTGACGTATATCACGTGAAGTTTGCCTCCCGCTTCATGTCTTCGCAATAGCATCAATAGCACCGATATTGGGGTTATTAGGTATGAATTCGCCTTGCATAGGCTATTGGATGGTACTGTATGTATACCGCTCAACCAGTGTTGAAAATAGGTTAAGCAGGTTTTATGCTTTTTGATATCGATATATCACATCCTGATTGATAGCACCTAAATCGGAGCTTTCTGGGCTTTATAGAGGTTTTAGAACAATTTACTCTATTTACTACCCTGTTCTGTGATGAATATTCTCAGGCACTGATCTCTTCTAAAAAGCTTTTAGAAATTGGTGCCTACTTGGATACTTGGTGATTCAGAATGTCTGAGGACGACATGTTACCAATCCCGTGTAATCACCAACATCAGGACTGATTGGGAAGGTTCTTGGGCGTCGAAGGCAGGTTTTCATTCACCAAGCAGACCGCACCGAACCAATGCTCTCAAATATCGTACACACATTATGCCCAATCATCCAGCTATTCATATCCCGTCTGCAACCCAATCTAAAGCTTTCCCTTGATGTCGCCTTTGAGCTCTTCTGCCTTCCCCTTTACCTCGCCGGCCACCCCATGTGCCTTCCCCTTTGCCTCGCCGGCCACCTCGTGTGCCTTCCCCTTTGCCTCGCCGGCTACCTCTTGTGCCTTGGCCTTCGCATCGGATGTCGAGCCGATACCCGTTACTCTCTTTGCCTTTTCGGTCACGGATTCTGCAAGGTGATTTTGTTAGCTCGTGCTCTGGAATGGCCATACATGCTATGTATCAAATGAAATAGGATCCCGGTAGCTACCCCAAACAACAGGGCATTAGGGGCACATGAGGAGGGATACCACCACGGTAACTGCAGAGAAGAAGAGAGAAGAATGAGAAGCCAGGGAAATACATACGACCAACCTCAATCCCATCAACCAGCTTATCCGAAACCTTCCTATCGACCGTCTTCAACGTATCCTTAGCCGCCTGCGCCGCCGTCCTCTGAGCCACGAGCGATGTCGAAAATGCCCGAGGCGCGAACGCAATAGTGCGTGAAGAGCGGAAGACTGTTTGCGAGAAGACAGAAGACATTATGAATTCTTTTTTAACTTTTCTGTTCTTGGATCGTGATTTCTTGTGTGATCTTCTTTGGATATAAGAGAGTTAGGTGATGATTCAGAGCTGGAGGCGATTGGGAAATCACGCCTTTATATAACCTGTTGGCTGCTGGGAGCAGCCTGCCCTCCCCTTGGAGCTGATAAACCGGTTGATGTCATGGCTTGGTGGGGAAGTCGAGGGAGGAGCCACAGGGAGTGGAGGTGGTGTTGCCGCTACGGTGGCTTCTGGATCTTGGATCTATGGCATCTAGATTTCTATGTTTTGTGATTTTCTTTTTGAGATTTTTGACGCTTTGTTCAATGTTTGTATTACAAGGTACTTGGACCCAACTGATTTGCTTTTATTTAGTTTATTTTACCTTTTTTTTCCAGGAGCGGGAGCTACGTTGGAAATGGCTTTCAGAGCTTCAACTGGTAGAATGGCATACTTCAGAAACATGGCATTCTGTCACTCTCTCGCCCCGCGCCGCCAAAAAGCTACCCCTGTCCTACCTATGACGCGCACCACCGGGCAGGAGCTCCTCAGTCACGTGACTATATGAACTCATCTACCTCCTAAGGTACTGCCTTGTTTCCTATGATGGGTTAATAAAACTTGGATATTAAGGTTTGGGATCTACACAGATCCACGGACCTAGGGGATTTACAAGATTAATCTTCCAATTCTCAGATTATCCTACATGGAGGTTTCACCTAACTTGAAGCCTCGTGATGGAAGGGTATTCCAGCCTTCACTACACTGATACAAGAGTAATATGATACACAGCACCAAATCATCTCCCCTTAAATTCTGGCCTCCTCTTTTCCCTAAAGGCATTCAAGGCCTCGTTCCTATCCTCCGTGCCCACAACCCTCTCATACATCTTGTTCTCGATCTCCTCCCTCGCCCACTCCACTGCCTTTAACGCACTCCTGACTGCCACCGGCGCACCTTCACAGATGTCCGCGGCGAGCTTGACCGCCTCTCTCAACACCTCATCTCCCGCCCTCCTCATCAAGTCGTCCTGAGCCTCCTCGCCCTCCTTGCCTTCCTCGGGCAAAACTTCTACCAGTCTGTCTGCGATCCCGAGAAAGTAGGCCTCTGCAGCACTGACCCGGCGCCCCGTCAGGATCATATCACGCGCATGTGCAAGCCCAATGAGCGCTGGGAGACGATAGGTTCCCCCGGCACCAGGGATGATCCCCAGTCTCGTTTCCGGCAGCCCGACTTGGGCTGTGGATGCAAAGACGCGCATATGTGTGCAGAGAGCAAGCTCGAGACCGCCGCCAAGAGCGAGAGAGCTGACGGCGCTGATGGTTGGGATGGGGAGGGCGGAGAGGTTCTTGAATGTGCTCCTCAGGTTGGTTAGGAATGCCGCTGTCCTATTTCGCAGAACCAGAATCAGTCAAAGCATCTCTATGACCGTAGTATGTAGTTTGTAAAAGCGGAGAAAAAGAAAATTTTCTCAAGGATCCCAGAGAGGGTATAAATGGAAAAGAAGAAGAGGACCTACTCCTCAGCAGTAAAGGTGGCACGCTCCTTCAGATCAGCTCCCGCACAGAAACAGCTATCGACCTCGCTCGCCACGATCAGTGCCCTCGTCGGCCCCCTCTCGTCCACGCCAGCCGCACCACCGAATTTCAACGTGGGCGGCACCTCCTCGCCGTTGGCGTCATACTCGGCGGCGATAGCATCGATGTGCGAGCGCAGCTCCCAGAGCAGCTGTCTGGAGATAGCATTGCGGGCTGAGGGCCGGGCGAGCGAGAGGATGCGGATGCGGCCCGACGAGGGCGCAGGGACGTCGGTGATGTTGATCAAGGGCGTCGACTGCGAGGAGTAGAGGCGGCGGAGGAGTTTGGGGAGGGTGGAAGGGACGGGACGCAGAAGTGGGCGCATGGCTGGGACGAGAATCTAGTTTAGATAAAAACTGCGTGTGGGTTGGCGGAGGGTTGGCATTCACAACTACGTATGGAGGTCGCTGAGCGGGGACCGAGGTTGTTGCGTGCATCTAGCGATCGATGTCATCCATCAACTTGCAGGAGCGACGCTATCCTCGTGCCTTTTTACTTCTAGCTGGACTACACCGCATTTCGTCCAAAAAGTACTCATTCTATTTCGAATATCATCGTTTCTTGGAAAGAGAAACTGAGAAGAGCACGATGGATCAACCAGCTCCAGAGCTCCCGCCCGAGGCAATCGCCTTTGCGGCGAGAATGTACAATGCCGCGCGTGCGGGGCAGATGGATATCTTCGAACAGGCGCTGCCGGCTGGCCTGCCCGCCAACATGACGAATGAGAAGGGCGACAGTCTGGTAGGTTTCCTTCTCTCTCTCTTTCTCCAAAGCAGAAAGTGCATTCTCCTTTTTCTTTTGTATCGATTTGCGTTTTACTTTCAATATATCTTTGATGCCAGATACATCTACGCGACGCTTGCCTGTCGACCCCCTCACCCTTTTCCGGGTACGTCTGTGAGGGCACCGGGCTGATCGTTGTAGGTCATGCTCGCCGCCTACCATGGCCATGCACCGCTGGTGAGGCTCTTGATCCAACACGGTGCCAATCCCAATTCCCTTAATGACCGCGGCCAATCTCCCCTGGCCGGCGCGGTTTTCAAAAACGAAGCGGACGTCATCGAGGTAAGTCTACGTAACCTGCAATGGAAAAGTGTGCCAGGCATTGATAGATGATGCAGGCCCTGCTTGAAGGAGGTGCGGATCCGGACCATGGAACGCCATCCGCGCTGGAAGCGGTGACTTTGTTTAAGCAGGAGGAGAAGTGGAAGGCGAGGTTTGAGAGTGCGCCTGGGAGGGGGAAGGCTGCGTCTGGGGGATCAAGTTAGGGATTGAGGAAGTTCAAACCAATTGCATTATACCATTTGCTCTATTTCTCCAGTAATTGGAATTTGATGTGCGATTCAAAGTGATTTGGGTTTCTATTCCTACGTAGATGTCATGCTGGAATTGAATGGGTCAATGAATATCAATCAATTCAAGATAAAAGGATCGTGTTCCAATTAATGAAAGAGATCCAGCAGTAGACCGCAGGAGGGGAGATGAAGTAAGAGATATCAGCAATTCTGATTATCTGAAAGATTCCGGGCGCTTCCATAGTAAGTCAGAACATTTTGAGTATCTGAACTGATCCCGAACCAGAAAGTCAGGAGAGCATGGACACAGACATGAAAGACACGAGAAAGAACCTTGAGTACTTATACTCATCTCTATTTTTATACAGAATTCCCACGCATTACCAGGGCCAGCTTACAACGCTACTTAAAACACAGGCTAGAGAGAAACAACAGAACGATTGATCTTGAAGCAAGATAAGAATTTCGAATGTCAATCAAGGTCCCGGAATCACTTGCTAATTGAAATCCAAAAGGAGTCTTGAAATCAGGTTAAAGAGCTGACAGCAACATATCTGTAATTTTGTAAAAGCCGCGGAGGAAGAGAGAACTGCTGAACAATTCAAAAGAGATGGATTGTGAATCTAAACAATCAAAACGAAGCCTCCTATAACGAAATTAGCGTAATCGAGGTTGATAGTAGGCACTGTGCCATCCCAGCAGATTCTGGGGCTTCGATAATTAAAGTTAAGGGTCAGAGCATCGAATATAGATTAGGGGTTTGAATTATCTAGGATGCTGAAATCCTGCTCAGGTCAACAATTCAGGCAAGGATACTTTGATTTCGAATAATACTAGTTTGCTCGATTTCTCAGAGGGAGGAGGGAGGAGGATATAAAACCTGGCGCTCCAAAAGCTTACACAGAACTCATCTAAGCAGCTCTTGCCTTGCGCCCCGCCTTGAGACACTTTGACTTTTCGGATGGTCTAAGTCGGATATACTGGTATCTGCTTATAATCTCTGATCGCAGTGCCTTTCGAAGGCGTTTCTCAGGAGTCCTTGTGGCATCACTGTGTCGAAGGGGGCATAACTACCTTAGCGTGCGAACATGATATCGAGCCACAGCTGCCTTGCAGTAATGCCCCTCACGATGAACGTGGCATAGATTCCGGCGAAAGAATTCAGGGTTGAAAAAAGCAATGCAGAGGTAGTCCAGGCGCACAGTCCCTGGAAAAGAGACGGCACAACATTCAGACGATCGGCTTTCAAGTACTGTATATAAGACACAGATGCAAACAGATATTCAATGATTCTACAGCCCAGGAGCTATCAGTGGTACAGGGTCTTCTGCACGAACGGCGCTATTCACCACTTACGGAGTATTGGAAAACCAGAAGCTCCAGATCCGGCTCTGGAAGGGCGGCTCCCCGGCTCTCCAACCCCGTTCGGGCACTGGCAGGCTGGCAGCTGAATCGTACAGGGGCGCGCAGCGGATGATTGGCTGCTGTGAGATTCCGGGGAGGGGGATTCTCAGGGGTCGAGCGATGCAGATGCAGGACAACTCCTTTCTTGTACATGATGCAGGTTGTTATGGTGTACATCGTGCTACTGCGAGCACTTCTACATAGAGACAGTCGGCCTCGACAAAAGGATTCGGATCCGGTAAGCTGCTACTTATGTTGATTAATTTAAATTAAACAGTCTCTGTGCTCTACTCCGTATATAACATCATCGTGGAGACAACAGTTCATCTCCTCCGTTTGAAACAAAACGGCCCGCCAATCTGGTGCTCGGACGGTGTTCGTATCATATACTGGAGAACCTCGTAGCTCTGTAATATTCGGGTATCCCCACACCGCTCTTTCGTGCCTCAGCCTGACATCCAGATCTGAAGAAGTTATGGAGTTTAACTGAGGCCTTTGAGAGAGTCGTACGTGGTAACAGGCCAACAGGACGGCCATGCAATAATGCTCGGGTAACGTATTGTTTTGGCGATGCACGAAACGCTGTACTGCATTTGACTCCGGACATCCCTTCGGCATCGTACTGCCCACTGCCCTGCACCGTACCACAGCTAGCTATCAATTCGGCTTGCACTGTATCGTCATTGACGATGTCTCGATCCGCTGCCCCTGAAACCAGAAGTTGTTCGAAGCCGAAACGTCCCCTCGCGAACCGGCCAACCGGCCGTGGTGTTGCCGTGTTGTCCGCTGAGACTCTCACCCTGTGCTGTATTGCCGTGTGAGACTCTCCAGACAAGAGTTGTAGATTACTACTGGATCTCGACTACGACAGGAACGGGCGACTGCTAGATCTCGACCGCGTCGACACCAGAGCTTTCGAGGAAGCGCGCCAGCCCGCCAGCCCGCTCGCCGAGCTCCCACCCTACGGCTACTACGACCGAGTAGTCCTAGTGAAGACCGCGAAGACCCTCTCAATTCAAGGCCTGAAAGCCCCACCTGTGAGACCCCGAACTCCTCGTGCCTGTGGTCGTGGTCGTCGTGGTCCGTGGGTCTTCCTGGCAGCGCTGTGCTGGCTCCTAATTTATCCAATCCAATTCTTATCTTCTTCTACATTTTTCGCAACCAAAAACAGGGCCTCGCATGCCCTGGGGCCGTCGACCTTTCCTTTGTACTTCTGGGCAGGAATCGAAACTCTCTCTCATACCGTCCCCCAAGCTACCTCCCCCAGACCGTGCCTTTTCCTCTCGAGCCGCCATTACAGTCCCTACCGAGCATTTCCATACGGAGTAGAAAATAGGGACCCGCCGCGACTTGCTCCAATTGCAGGGCACAATCCGCCTCTTCCACGACACTTCTCGCCTTGATATCCCCCGTTTCGAACTGGCATACTGTGAGAAAGGAGCGCAAGGACTGATTGGGAAAATCATTTGAATGCTTCAATCTCATACCAGGCCGTCGCTCGGACAAAGATTGGATTGAGGGGAGAACCGCTGTGGGTTCATGGGTTCGTCGTCGTTGTGCCTCCTCGAGCCGCATCTGATGCCGACTCTGCCAACGTCGGGGCGTCCAATATCAAAATGCAGTCCCTCGATGCCGCTCCGCAGTCGCCGAAACTGCGCACGCCTATCTCTCTAAACGTGGATACTGGGTATAACGGGAAAGGGAAGCGGAGGGACGCCTCTCCGCCGCGGACGCCGCCGCCGAGGACGCAAAACTCGCAGATGGGCAGAGTCAATTATTCAGATGGAAAGGGGGAGATGGGGGTGCATACGAGCCCCGCAGAAGCATGGCTAGACGATATCACACCTGTTGACCCCTCTACGATCAAAGAGAGTGAACCCAGGAGAAGGGAGACGAGAGACTCGCACGATCTTTCTTTGTCTGCACAACAAGGAATCCGGGACTCGCTGGTGGACCATATGCTGTTGTCCTTCGACCAATTCCCATACACACAAGACGAGGGAAGACATCCAACTGTTGATGAAGAACGGCTGTATTCTTACGACGAGGGGCCATACCAGCCTAGCTCAAATTTTGGCCCTCCCCGAAATGGTCCATCGGGGCACAGTTATTCTTATAGCTCCGACTACGAAAATGACGATTCGAGTCGGTATTCGGGTCAATACTCTCGAGGTCGGAGGAGTAATAGCAGCTCAAATTTTCAGACCGGGTTGGGCAGAATAAATAGCGGACGCAACGACAACTACACGGGGACCAATCCCACAATTTCAAGGGGCCCGCAAGTTCAAGTTCCCACGCGAGGATTGCATTCAAGGGGCGGGAAGGGCAGCAAAGGAAGTAGCGCCAACAGTTTTGACCTCGGATACGCGCAAGTTACAAGCAACACCAGGTGGTCTCGCGGACTCTCTGGGAGGTCTTCGAGCTTTGACTATGGCGACGGCTCGGTATTACAAAACGCAATGAGCCGGCAGATAGACAACAATGTTTCCGCGTTGAGTCCTTTGTTTAGTCCATATGACTACGACGCTGCACCAACTCCCACAATACCTGGTGGGCCTCGCAGATGCCCGCCTTCTCCAATAATGCTCCCCCACCATGAACCTGCGCCGGTTGAACCACCACCCCCAAAGCTTGAGCGCAAGAGAAGCACCAGATCAGCGAAGAGTGCCTACAAAGGCAAGCCTATTTCTGGAGGGAGGCCCGATTATGGCCTGAATAATCCCACGCGTGATCTACCGTCGTTGCCAGCCTTTATTAAAGAGCCTGCTCCCGCACCCTCAGTTGCATATGGGAAGACAAAAGAAGCAAGTCAAGCAGCGCAGCCCACCAAGGATCGACCAGGTTTCTTTAGAAGGGTCTTTGGCTCGTCCAAAAACAATCCTGCACCAACACCAGATCATGCACCGTCGCATCGATCTGGTCCGTCCGCTGAAACCGCAGATCAATCAAGCAGTAAATCTCATCATATTGGCAATCAGATTAAGCCCCATTATATACCATCACCTCCTCGAGAAGCGCCGCCAGCTCCAAAGGAACACACACATGTGCTATCGAAGAGGCCTTCCGCGTTTTTCCGGCGTAGAAAGAAGTCTGTATCCGAACCTGAGGCGCCGCTGCCCGTAATGCCGGTCCTTCAGTATCAACCCACGGCAGACGAGCCGCATAGTCCAGCCAGTAGTCTTCGTCAGGTCATGAGTCCCTACTTGAAGGTCAATAGTAGAGGTACTGTGGATTCTGAAGATCCTCCTGACAGGCGAGAACCCAGCCCCGAAGATGAGCGCCAGGTGAGGGGATTTTCCCCAGATTACGAACCTGATGTCAGTGCGACAATAAGGCCCGTCAAATCAAGTTCAAGGGATGCGATTGAGACTCGTTCACCGCCATATTTATTGGATCAAGCGCCGCCTGCAGCTCGAACTAGTGGGCATCATGCAGGTCTAGACGGGCACGGGCAATCGCGAGACGAACGCGGTGCCACCTTCCTCCAGGACAATAGTGATAATGACCCCGACGCCCATAGCGATTCTTCGAAACCTGCGCTCCCCACAACCGATGCAGCAACCGGATCAAATCGCATTGCTGCCCCGGTGTCTCCTCAATTGCAATCTGCAAGTAGGGACATGATGCTCGGGGGCCAGGATGAGAGAACGCTCTCGAAACTGTCTCCCGCATCTGCGAAAACAGACGTGTCCAGGGACCCCTCCGCGATGGGATCACCGCGCAGTGTAGCAGAATCTAAATTCAGTCAAACTAAGCCTGCGAGCATTGTTAAGGAACAAGAGTTATTGTCGCCTATAAATGCCTTAGAGAGCAGCCGCTTATGGTTGGAACTGTCATCATCAGAGGATGACTTTCGCCCAAAGAACCTTGAACCGCCAACTAAGACTGAGATATTGTCAACAACCTCTGGGTCGACGGACACGGTCTACAAGTCTGCGACCAGCCTGCCAATATTGCAGTTTGAAGGTCAGGATGAAGACGAACTTCATAGACAACAAACCCAGGCCGTCACCGAAGCTCTAGACGCGGATGTAAGTGAAAGAGCGAAGATGATATATGATGGAAACGAAGATTTCATTCCAAGAGAAAAGGCCGCTGCCTGGTTGGGAGAGGAGCGCGAGCTTAATGCAAGAATGTTAACTGCTTACATGGAACTGTACGACTTCACGAATCTCAACATACTTACAGCGCTGCGTACTATGTGTACCAGATTGGTCCTCAAGGGCGAGAGTCAGCAAGTTGACCGGATTCTGGATGCATTTGCTCAGAGATGGTGCCAATGCAATCCAAACCATGGATTCAAGGTCACTGGTGAGTCCTAACTAAGATCACGCGAGTAGGCTTTTGATGCTAATGCGAGAATCTAGATGTCGTCCACACTATATGCTACTCTCTGCTCCTGCTCAACACGGATCTTCATCTTGCCGACATCGAGCAGAAGATGACTCGAAGCCAATTCGTTAAGAACACGATGCCCACCATTCGGAAAAGTGTGGCAGACTCGGCCCCAGATGCTTTTGAGCCGAATCGTCCCACTGTACTACCGGGCAAGAGCCAAGCTTTTACTCAGGATTCTCCAACCACTAAGTCTAATGAGAACTTGAAGCCGGAGAAGTCGTCACTTGAGGTCGAACGACCATCGTGGAGATCTTCATTCAAACCCCCACCAAGAACAGACTCGGATGGCCTCAATGGCAAATCGCCTACGCCCCTGGATTATGATACGCCACTAGACGATTGTGGACCTCTGGTGAAGGCACCCTTTCACGGCACCCTGAGGACTTGGGAGGTCCAGGTGGAGATCGTCCTCAAAGACTTTTACAATTCAATTCGCAATGAGCGTCTTCCATTATGCGGCGCCACGGAGGACAAGTCACAGTGGCAACCACCATCATCTAGCTCCCTATCAGTGTTTGGAAACGGAAAGCTTCGACGCTCTCCAAGCGTCTTGAGCAAAACGCCATCCGAGCCGAACTATATGAGGAATAGAACAGCCGACACTGTCCGAGTTGGAGGAAACAAGTGGGCGAGCAAGAATCGCTCAAGACCTCGCCTCTATCCTACCTCTTCCGGATTAGGATCTAGCCGGACAAGCTTAGACGACCAGTCCTCAATGTGGAGTCCGTCTGTATCTTCGAGCACCTGGAGTAAATACTCGCTTGGAAAAACCCAAACCTCATCAATGTCAGTCGACTCGTTCGGTTCAAACTGGCTTCAAGGAGATTTTCAACAATCAATCGGGTTCGCCAATGCACTCAGTCAAGCCATCATCCGCGAGGAGACCGTGGGTAGCGTTAGTAGCGCTGGCAGCGATGAGTTCCGTGTCGCACCTCTCCTTGAAGATGAGTCACTCGAACTTGCTGGTGCACCATGGGCAAAAGAAGGAATTGTTAAGCACAAGCATCACCTTGAAGCTCTCGACAAGAAAGCCAAGGATCGCAACTGGAACGAGGTGTTCGCTGTCATTGAGAAGGGTTACATGAGTCTCTTCTCGTTTTCAACGAAAAGTATGCGCAATAAATCGAAAGGTAGAGCTGTTGGTGGAGTCGTCGGTGGAGGAAATTGGCAAGATAATGCGGAAAATCTTGGTTCGTTCCTGCTTCGACAGACCATTGCAAGTGCTCTCCCATCACCGGGGTATTCAAAAGCACGTCCCCATGTCTGGGCGCTCTCGTTGCCTACAGGAGCAGTTCACCTCTTCCAAGTTGGCACTCCGGATATTGTCAAAGAGTTTGTGTCCACAGCCAATTACTGGAGCGCGCGACTTTCAAATCATCCTCTTGTCGGCGGGATCAGCAACATTGAGTATGGTTGGTCCGATGCCGTGGTGAATAATGTATTAGCGGCGACTATCAACGAAAGTGTCTCAAGCAGACCATCTACCAGTGCTCGGAGACCAAGTATACAGAGCTCTTTGCGATCGAGTATCGATCAAAGCGGGCACCCCAGGTCGAAGTTACCTGGAGACAGGATTACAATTTCGGATTGGACGCCACCTACTCAAAGCATGCGCGCCAGTAACTTGATGGAGACGGACCAACTGGCGACTTTGGTTGCTTACGTGGCCGGTATTGAAGAGGAGTTGCAAAAGCACAACCAATTGCGAAACCCTATGCTTCTGGCGGTAAGTCCTTCGCAGGCCTACTTGCGTATAATCACTAATCAGATGCAGTTCTCACCGCGCCATCCCAACGCACAGAAAGCAATGGCCAACTGGGAAAAGAAATCCTCGTACCTGCTGCGTGAAATCGTGAAGTTCAGAACGTATATTGATTCGCTCCAAGGGGCGCAAGCAACCAGAGAGCGCGTCTATGCCGAACGAGCTGCGGAAAAGGCGGTGGCCGAAGGTTCAGAATACGACGAGGCAGACTCGGTGCTCCAGAACGAGGAAATTGGTCGAATTGCTTCGCAGCCCTGAAAATCGATCTGAGATCACCTTATCTGAGAGAATACGACAGGCACGAGGTGGTATGACGAGGTTATGTTTATATGTATTACGCTTCTCTCCTCTTCTTCACGAACGACATAACAGCTTTCACGACGGTAAAATCGTATACAGGCCCCGATCGATCTGGGCCGGTCTTGGATGATGGCTGGCGCTGGCTCCTTTTCTTTTCCTCTTCCGTCTCGCGTTTGTAATAGTAGTACCATTTGTAGTATACCCCCTTCGCTCTAAGCTTATTATTCTGCAGCTGGAGTTCTTTTTTTTTTTTTTTTTTTTTTTTTCTTTTTCTTGCTTTCTGCTTTCTGATTGATGGGTCGATTGATTGAAAGAGATGGACGGGCACTGTTGATGGGGAGAGATATAGGAGGGATGAAGGGAGCGAGTTTTCATGCCCTCGCCTGTGTGCTCGCTCGCTCGCTTGTTTATAGCCTGAAAATAATAGAGAAGGGAGGTGAAAGAAAGAAGAGAGGGACGATGAATGAGATACGAGACTCGTTGCTTTTTTCTATATCTGATTGACGAATGATTGATTTCTTAATCTAACTACCTACCTAGAGCGACAATAAGAACGAGAGAGAGGCGTGTAGCGTGGGTCTTTTTGTCATTGCAAGTCCTCCTCCAACTAATCTTCGTATACTGTATTAGAGAGAATTTTTTCAACAACAAATAAAACGCGTTTGTGGTTTAGTGGTAAAATCCATCGTTGCCAATGAAGAAATTCATAACAACTTCGATGGGCCCCGGGTTCGATTCCCGGCGAACGCAATAATATGAAGAAAAATAGACTTCTTCACTTAATTTTTT